ATTTCGTCTGACCAATCTACCAAGGCTCCTATCTTCACGTTGGGTTGTTACAGATGGTCGAGGACGGACCTTAACATTCTGGGTGGCAACATGTTTTCTGACCAAACGGCTGATCACTGTGTAATGATAGCCAAGCTGTCTACCTATCGCCTTGTAGGACATACCAGCGGAATTCATGCCAATAATTTGCCATCTCTGCGCCTCTGATATCCGTCTTCTTGCCATTCTTACTTAAAATGATTTTGCATTCAGAAATTCGGGACTTGAATACGGATTTGATGCACGAGAAAATAGTGCATATTGGACGTGAAGAAGGGAGCAAGTTGCACGTGGGGAAAAAAACGGCCTGATTTAAATGTCACACCTGAACGCTCACATCCTTTTAATTATGTTTGAAATTATTAACATTGCTCAACATCATGAAAATTAAACCTTATTTTCAATAAGCAATCCTGAAAAATATTTGGGGGTGCTTAACTTTTTTCCAGGTGTATATATATAAAGAGTATGGTTCAGAACACATTATATTTATTTATAGAAATTTAGAGAAGTTCTTGAGAATAGCATAATATTCAGAACTTTGAAGTATGTTTAAAATTACTTATAAATCAAAAATCAAATGCCTTCATCTTAAAAGTTCTTATCTGATTATAGAATAGACTGAGCTTTCAAGAACCATTTGAGTGTTTAACATATTTTGTCTGAAATTTCATTAACAAGTGTCAGTTTAGTAATTATGAGGGAATAATTAAAGAATAGTATGCTCTTAAAATACATTATAATGCATTGCAAAAAATTATTTCATTGTTCACTGTTATGTTAACGAAAGCATTTATATATATCTTTAAAATATATATATCTCCCTTAAGTACATAATCATCATTAGATTATATGATACTGAAATGTGCGCAGCAGCTAAAAGAAAGGACGTTAACTTTGTGTCGTATAATCTAGGTAATTTTTAGCTAAAAATATAAATATGATGAAGGCCATCTCAGTAATTTGTGTTATTTGAATATAAAATTAATTAACTCACAAAACTCATGACTTGATTTTTATTGTTCACTAATGGTGGGCCCAGATCCACATATTGAGTAACTTTGTTTTTTTCTGTTAACAAAACTATCGTTGTAAGGAAATAACCACAAAAAATATTGTTGAAATCACTCATTTTCTGTGTAAAATATACTTATGGGTAACTCAGTAGTAATTAGTGGAATTAATTGCAGTATTGATGGTATTTTTTTTTATTTTTGGGGGGCTTGTATGTTATTTGGGACCTTGTAACCAACAAAACCATGAACCCATAACCAGAGAACTTTCTATGAGAATTATTTTCATATTTAATAAAATGTTTGAATCATATTTTTATGCAACAAAATATATTATGTTCTTATGTGTAACAATAAGATGGTTGAATCAGTTTGTGGAGTCATTCTAATATATAACAAGTCTTTTTTTAAATAATTACCTAACAGAATGTTTAAATTAGCTTTATATGTAATAGAATGTTTAGTCAAGTGAATTTTATAAATGAAAACGTTTTTTGAATTATTATTTTATATGAAAATTTTAATTGGCTTTTCTCAAACATTGGACTTGTACAATACATTGTAGAATATTTGATTTAATTACACAATGTTTGTGTAAGTTGCCTGTATGTTTATCAGTTTGGTTACATGTAGACTAACGTTTCTTAGTATTTTATTCCAGGTTACAAATGAAGTGGCTGACTTATTAATGAACCAACGTCAGGAATATCTTCTGCAAAAGAGGGAGGGTGTGTACGTCAAAGGGAAAGGTCACTTGACCACATACCTGCTCAAGACTCCATTTGATGATCCAGCCAGTGAGGATGAGGATGTCACTAGATTATGACATTATTGTTTTATGTGTGTTTTTAGAGCCATGCTACTAAGTTTGAAAGTGTAATGTCATTATTGTTTCTAGGTTATTTACATTTCTTTTATCTAGGAGAGACTAACTAAAAGATGATTCATCTCTAGCACATGTGTTATTACGTACCAGACACCATAAGCTACACATCATCAGAGATTGAAACTTTTTGGACACTATATTGCTACATAAATACCATTAGAACTTGAGTTAATACATGCTGGAACATGAATGCTACATAGTGTCAGAGCTCCTGTTAAAAACTTCAGCTCATTTCAAATTTTAACATGTTCTTCAGATTAGCTATCATTAAAGATTCTCATGATTAGAAACATTTATCAAAAAAAGCTGGAAAATGAAGATTTAATTTTCTATGATTAACATAAGATTAATTGTAATGATTTAAATCATGTATAAAGTTTTGAAACCTTTCTAGCAACAGTCATAATTTAATTACTCATTTGGAATCTAGTTCCATAAGATTTTATTTCTTTGGTTTGTAAAAGTCTGTTTCTTGATTATTTTATATAAGGTTAATTGCCATTAGATTACTTTGTTTCAAAATTAAGTAAATCATGTTTTCATCAAATTTTACTTTTCAAATATTATACATTGTTAGAATCTTTTCTTTACAATTGTTTCAGTAAAGCATCACTTTTTTATTTATTGAATTATAACTTTTAAAACGTTTTTAAGGTAATATGTACATTTTTGGCAAATGGTTTTAACTGTTCTGTTTGTTTTATTAGTTCGAATTTTAAGTTAAATCTAAAAGAAAGATTTTCTTAAAGAAAATCAGAAACTAAACTTATCAGAAAAACACTGTGTCAAAACCCTGTTAAATAATATAAATCAAAACCATCTAAATGAGTGCCCTAACCTAATGTACCAGTTATTGTTCGTGTTATCTGGTGGGGTTATTTACCTTTTTCTGATTTTTTTTTGTTTGTTTTTATTCTCGAATAAAGTTGGCTACATTTTATAAACAAAAATTTACTTGGTCAAAGAAACAGTGGTTTGAAATTGTAATATACCGTTTTATGTTTTTAATGATTGTTAACAGATAAACTAGTTTGGTCATAAATAATTCACAAAAATAACTACCTTTTTCCAAGAGTTTAAACTTGTTGATTTCACTATACTTAATAAAATATTCTGCCACTTAATCATTAACGTATTTGAAGTAATAATAATATAATAATGGACTGGATTAATTAATTATTATGAATGTCGTGTGTATACGTATATATATATATATATATATACTATATCCCACAGGAAATAAAAGTGAGGGGGCACCTATTCCCCCCTATAACCCGCATAATATTTTTTTTTTTTTGCATAAAAATGGAATACCACTTTCAAGATATAAAACACGGTAAATTACATTTTTGAGATAAATTATGATTCATAACGTGATATTTACGTCTATAGGCGTCTATGAATGGTCACATTAGTTTTTATATTTTGTGCCAGGTTGATGAAAATTTTTCTTATTGTAAATCATTTTAGTTGGATTTTTTTGCTGGCGACATTACTTTGGAAAGAAAACTCTTTGACAAAAAATTACTGATTCTGATTCGATGTATAATTTAATAAACATAAATCACAAATTTCTTAAATTGGGGTTCCATGTTATTTTTTCTAACCAAAACGTGATTTTTATAATGGTTAAAGTAAACATATATATAGTTTTAGAAGATATTTTAATTTATGACGTGACTTTTTATGTACTTTTTCCATTGGTTCTTTTTTACGTAAATTACTTTATGAATTTTTATTTCAGTGAGTCGTTTTCTTCATGATGTATACATATTATTGTAAAACTATTTTAAACAAAGTGTCTTATTTATGAACAGTCGCCAAGTAAGCAAGCAAAAAAATGTATGCATTATCTCTAACCTAGTGGAAAGGTTTGATACCAAAACTCAAAATAAGCTATCTACGCTTAACCGATAGTTCATTATTCACAAAATTTACTGAAATTTGTCGTAAAATTAGGTCGATGAATACAAAATTAAAAAAATTCAGACATTCATCAATTGAAGGTAAATATTTATTAAGTGTGGTAAATACAAAACATTAAAGTCAAATTATTTTACACAAATAGTCTAAATATTGTATATATGTACAGTACGACAGACACACGCACCAATGCTATCAATTCTGTTTTAGTGTACTTGTTAGAAAGTGATAAAGACTTGTACTTATTCCATCCTTGATGACAGCGATTTAAATTCTTTTTATAAGAAACAGTCTTCTTTAATGTGTTTGTAAATAACGAAGAGTTTAATTTCTAACATGAGTACGACACAACTTTGTACACGTGGCGAACAAGTAAGTAGTTCTGATCTTCAGTCTCCATAACCTCCCATCATTCCATAACCTCCCATCATCATTCCACCACCATAGCCCATCATAGGCATGCTGTTGTAACCCATCATATGCATACTACCATAACCGGAATCCCTGAAAAAATAAAATACATAGCTAGTACACTATTGCTATTTTATAAATTTCATTTGCAAGGTCCCAGCGGTCTTGATTGTAAGCGTCTTAAGACTTGACTAAAAGACAGCTAATGCTAAGATAACCAACATAACGTAGTGTGTACTGGTAAATATATTTTTGAGACAAACTTGTCGATGTACTTTTAGCCAAAATATGTACAATAAGGACAAGAGACACGTGATTTCAAGATAAATTTCTCAATGCCAAGCGTGTACATTGTGGTTTATGTAAACAGCAAACAGGCTAGCTTTGATTAAAAGGTTTATTCTTTCTTTTCATACATTACTAACAGGGTTAATATCATCCATCTTGTTTATGAATGTAAAGTCACCTGGAGAATTGTAATTTGAAAACTTTAGGTAATGCTAATTTAGAGTGTTCATTGGACTGGATGATGGAAAAGAAATGATCACTTTTTGGTTTTATGATTTGTTTCTAGCTTCAATTGTTTTTAAACAGTTACAGTACTAAAGAATTTCATGTTGTAAAACGAGTTATACTTCAAAGTAAGTAAACTAGTACTTACTAGTATGAGACATAAGGAAACAATGTAAAAATTAATCTTAAGGGAGGTTATAACTTGTTTTGACAATGTAGTTAAATTCTGTTTTATCACAGTTTTAATAAAACTACTGAACCTGCTTATAACTTTGGGCTCAGCATATATATTTCAGTCCGTCGTCACGAAGTATCACATTATATGGCCCTAAATACTTTCATGCTCCAACATTAAACAAATGAGATAAACATTTCCTTCTATACTTACATGCTTACTGCAATGGGGATTGGGATGGGGATCACTGTAGGTGGCTTAGGTAACAGAAGAGCCAGCTTAAGTAGTTTTTTTAACTTCAATTTGGATAGAGCTTCTGACGTATGTAATGTAACACCAAGAAGAAGGCATGTCAACAACAAAGATGATAGTAATCTGGATCCCATTCTGTAATATAAAGACAAAAAACAAATATGTTTACTTGTGTGATGCCTTAATTTAAATGTTATAATGCGGAAAACTGAGGAAGCCAATTTAATAACTAATAAAGATTCCATAGTTTAATATTCTAATCTGTTTTAGGGCTGTAAGTTATGTATTTCCTAGTAGTCATAATTTAGGAGAAAACTAATGAGATGGTAAAAAAATTCGCTGATACGAGAAAGTAATGTCGTATAAGATAAACTTAACTTACCTGATGTGTAATCGAAACGAATACCCCCCCCCCCCCGTGGCACATCGGTATGTTTGCGGACTTACAACGCTAAAAACCGGGTTTCGATACCCGTGGTGGGCAGAGCAAAGATATCCCATTGTGTAGCTTTGTGCATAAATTCAAACAAACAAAAGAAACGAATAAATATTATTCTAAGGGGATATTATAAAATAACATTTGTATAAGATGTTTTAAAATTGACGTTCTTCTACCCCAATATGAAATTAGTAAAGAAACGTTAGAATAATGAACTTGCTATTGTTATTGTGCAGAATAATATCAAATAATATAGAGTAACTGTTGTTCAGCGAGACGTGTGCAAAAATGATTCAGATAAAAAGTAATAAACGATAAGTTAACACGTTCTCAGTTGAAATGTCATTCTGTTTCATTTTATGAGCCGTTTCGGGCAGATGCCATTCGCCATACAATGGAAATTAACCATCTGCCCGAAACGTCGCGTAAAATGAAACAGAATAAAGTCTTCATTTAGACGTGTGAAAATTTATCATTTATTAATTTTTTTATAGGAATAATACCAGTCAATTACGTCCCAGTCTCTTCAGCGAAAAATTCAACGTTCCTTTCTCTCTCTCTCTTCGTTTTACGTCGTGTTAAATATATTTTGTTCATGCAGGATTTATTATGGTTTAGGCTTCGATCTAAATATTTATTGGTGTTTTTGCTCACTTGTTTTGTATAAAAAATGTTACATAAAAGTTAATTTAGAAAATGAAAGCAAGATACAAACCTTAAGAAGTAATGTTTTTGCCATCATGGACTGTACTAGTGTTTATAATTGTATTAAATGAAATAGTGATTTAATTATCCAGCTATTTGTCGAATTCAAATGTAAATCGAAAAGCAAATGATATAATATCGTGAGAATTTTGTTTTCCTTTTTAACAGTCGTTAATGCTTCTAAGTAAATGACAGAGTGACAGAAATAATTGAAACTTCATACACTTATGAAATACTACACAACGTATTAGAAATAAGTTGATTCCTATTAATTAAAGATATATATGATTATCAGTAAGTGAAATATTTAGAATTTCGAAATGCGCAGGGATTTTATCTTTCCATTCTTTTAGATCGTCTCCGAGTGGTTTAGCGGTAAGCCTTAAGGTTTATTTATAACGATAGAACTCGGAGTTAGTCCATTGAGCAACTTTAGGCTCAAACAAAACAAACACTGAAGATTTGAGTAACGATTAGATCCAACATGAAACAATGTGATTAAAGAACAAATAACGAAACTAATGATAATTCTCACCTTAAATCTCTGCGCAGCCTTCGAAACTTAACCAAAATTTGAACTTCAATAACTTGTATGTTATCTGCACTAGGTCCACCAAAAACTGCTAAAGTGAAAATGGAAGCCCTTTATATACCTTGTAGATAGTAGCACGACTTTGGCAACCACGTTGTAAAAATTAACCCAAAAAGAAGCCTGTTCACCCCAAAAACCCCAATATTCAATCAGGAGGTCAAACAGCCCCTCACTTATTTCTTCATGCTTCAAGATCATTCAAACCACCACTATGTGTGTGTTTGTTTTTTCTATTAGTAGAGTTCCTATTTTTAGTTGTGCGACCTTTCACCCGTGAGAATACATCTGCCCTAAGTTGACAGTGCATCTTACACCTAATGAAAGTTTCCGGTTCGCTGGCTTTATGTAGGTCAAGTAGTGAATTTCTTACGAGAAAGCCAACATCGACTAATTCGTAACAATGTAGAATGTCCACTGCATCGAATTTACATCAAACGTTGTAAACTCATCGTTAGATACACAGTAAAATTAATAAACATTTGAAATAATTAAAATCAAGC